CAGCCCTACTACATATAGTTCGTGTGGAAGATTTTGATTGTTGAAAATGATCACAAATCCGAACAATCTCTAATTTTGATATTTGAACCCACTTAACCAACCCAAACTGATCTAAATCACACACATAACACATTACACATACTTTTCACCGACCACAAGCTCAAATATTTGAAAGATGTTATTTTATTTTATTTTTTATGTTTTATTATTATTATTTAAAAAGTCCTTTTAAGAATGACAAGGGAAAAGGTACAATAGGAAGAGTTAGTAGTCCTATTTTGAGAATTTAAACTTGAAGTTCCTATTGTTTCAATTTTGCTTCTATTTAGTCCTATTAAAAAAATCTCTCATATCAAAATAATTTAAAACCACACGATTAACATTACTTTGACTATGTATATACATTGTAGACATGTCACCAACCACAAGTCCAAATATATGGTTTATTTTTAATAAAAAGAATAATACATCTTTTATTTTTAAAGAACACTTCTTTATTTATAATAATGAAAGTGATAGGAGACAAAGCAAACCAATAGCTAAGAGCTACCCTGGAGTGAGACATAGAACTGATCAACCCCCGAGAACCCGACAAGTTCACTAAGCCCGCACCATGGTAGGCTAATCTAGTAGTATCGTTGCACTTTCTACTAAAATAAATGGATAAAAACTAGAATTATTAAACTGAAAAGAACAAATAGAATCATAACTTCTGGTTTTACCAACCACCAACAAGGGAGAAGAGGTATGTCCAGCCACTTCCAAAGGAAGCTTCCTGCTCACATAAACTAATGTAATTCCACATGGTGCTGATTCAATAGCACTGCCGCAGAGCTGCTTTTTTGCCCAATTTCCATCTACCTCCTACTAACTTCAACCAGATTTTACAAATATACTGCCCTGCGCTTCCCGGATTCCCCTTCGTTGAGAACTCTATCTTGGTTAGACTCCTCTTCCTCTCCCACTTTTTCTTTTCCCCTTTAAATCTGCCCCTAAACCAAATAACATCTCGCATATGAACCTTCTCTTGGCATCCTATATATTGACCTTGACTTTCACTACCATCCCTATTATTTTTCGTCTCACGCCCTACTCACGGGATTAACCACTTATTTCCCGGGTGAGTTCCTCCCCGCTGCAAAATCTGCCCACATCCAAGTCCATAAGGCTTGTCACCCATCCATGGCCCCACACTTGTGTTTGATGGGCAATATGTCAGTGTGTCCCAGAACTCCACAGATAAATTGGAGATTTAGAAGGCTCTCATATTTGAACTACGCCTAGAACCAGCTAGCCCCTTCTTCTCTAACTTGCGTTCTTCTCTTTAGAGCATTATTTGTGTCTAGCAGAACACAGATGCGTACATACTCTTTAGTTTCCCGGTTTTGGGTTCTTTCATCAATCCGTATCAGTTTCCCTAGGTATCGTCGAATACTAGTCACCATTGTCTTAGTCATAAAGCTTAGGAAAAAATTATGGATTTGAACCCAAAACTCTACTTGATTCAGGTCAACCTCAAGTGACCTGTCCTTAGCTTCCACCTTTCTAATAACAACTAAATTTTGGTCATAGGACCACGGGCCATCCTGCAAAAGTCGTGCAATATCATTTTCATGATTGAACTGAATCATAAACCACATATCTCTGATTTGTTTAATGCCCACCCCTTTAGTCAGGCGCCAGATCAATATATCATCGCCATTGTCTCCCGGAAGGAGATGAGACAGACAAGTTTGTATGTGACAACCCTAAACACAGCTAAGAATTGTGGGTTCTCTCCCACCACACTACTAACATTCAGGGCTCCAGATTCAAACACCAGACCGCTATTGTCTTCCTCCTCAATCGACTTTCCATATTCTTCAGCTATATTCTCCATTGAGAAAAAACAGGCCAATCAAAACAATGGACTACACAAAGCTAACGATACAAAAATGCTCAAAACCCAATATAGTCAAAACGCAGGACAAATCTCGGCCAGGGCTTGGAGCTCAGCCAGACTCACCCAATCAGCTAAACCGAACAAAAAACGAAGCAGCTCTGACCTTAAAATCTTACCTCCACACGCTGTCAGTACTCAAGCATCCCATATGGAGTTCTCACCCATGTTGCGAGCCCGACCCTGCTTCATTAATCGTTGATCGACCACCGCATGCTAATAATACATCTTTTTTTGCATAAGTTTTAACAATATTTAAAAGGTTTGAGGTTTGCTCCTAAGGCCATGGCTCAGTTTACGTCTTTTGAAAAAAAGCCTACATCTCATTGAATTGGGTACAAATATTTCACAGAAACACAAATGTGTGATTGATATTGACCGGAGCAAACACATTAAAATCGATTATCACTTTGTTCGAGAAAGGTTGGCTCATGGGGATCTCGTTGTGAAGTACATTCCCACACAGTTGCAGTTGGCTGACATTTTTACTAAAAATTTATCTAGTAAGCGTTTTGAATCTTTACGTTCCAATCTGCGCGTTGTTTCCCCTGCACAGATTGAGGGGGTGTAATAATGTAATTATATACGGATTACTATGTAATTTCCTACACTCCTTTTAGTATAAATATAACCTCAAGGCACCCAAGAGGGTAAGCCATTATTCCCTAAAATTATTGGTTTGTATAGACACCAGTTGATTTTGGTTTAGTTCCAGGCGGGGATCAAGCCTTCTATTTCCCCAGATTTTAGCCTTCAAAATATGCTAGAAAGATTGGAATTGGAACATGTTGGCTCTGGTCCTATTTTGTAGGCCTTGCAACTGTTTCCGGCCAAACAACTGAAAAAGGGCCAAACAGGACCATCTTTTCTTATCCAAATGTGGCCCTGAGAACAGTATCCTTGTTTCCGTTTCCAACTGTCAAAATCCACCAGCGTGCCCAAACCACTGCGGCCCAGATTTTGGCCTGGAGAAGCCGCTTTCAAAAGATTCAGAGCATAATTATGTAGGATCGATCAATTTTACATAAAAAAGAAAGATGCGCTCGTGCTTCATGGGACAGTTTTGTGAGGTGAATAAAATTTAGTTTTAATAATGTATAGGATCCCAACATTTAAGAATGAGAATAGCAGATTGAATTTATGTCACTATAAGTTAAATTAGAAAATTGTAAAGATTTTACATGATTCATTTGAATAAAATGTATGAACATTCCAGTATTTTTTATTGCCTATTCGTATTTTTTTTAATATTGCAATGTGATAAATGGTAATCAATCATAAACTTGACTTTTGTGATAGATAGAGTGTTTAATTTTTCTAGTGATTGAGAAGATGCAACTTTAAGCAAAGACTTTTCATATCCTATGTCCTCATAAGACAAAGGATGTTTTTACTTGGACTAAATTTGTTTGTTTGGTCTGGTCTGATCTGATAAATGTCTGGTCTCTGTGTATTTTATAACTATGGAAGTTTGGTTTGAACTGTTGCAGTCTAGTCTGATTTGATCTGTTTAAGTCTGGTCTGGTCTGATATATGATTGAAAATTGTCCAACTAAAAGCATCCAAATAAGGCATTGTTTTTTAATATTTTATTAGTTATTTTCCTATTTTTTTATTTTAATCATATTTTATTTAGATAATAAACAGGGAATAAATACTAGGCGATGTGGATTATAATAATTGTTTTCTATCCCTAAAAAGTACAGCTTTTATAGATAGATGTGAAGTTATGTCCAACGAAACAATACATATATTTTTTTTGGGAAAAAATGACTTAAATTAAAATCACAACATTCAGAGAGGTGGCAACAAGATAAAAGGACATCTTCCAATCAACGACCCTCGAATTAGATTTAGAGTCAATCACCTTGTAGAGTGCAATATGACTCGTTGATCTTATAGTTATAGTGAGTCTAAATGAGCCTAACATTATTACAATAGATCACTCATCACCCAATTCTAATGCAAGAATCGGACAGAATGAAAAATAAAGGGAACAACTAAAACAGTCTGATCAAAGTAAGCAATAAAAATGAAAATAACGTAATGGAACTTCAACTGCATCGTCAGCATCACGAGAACCTCCCCCTACCTTTCTTTGCCATAAAGCATTTTTGGGGCTCCCGGCAGGTCTGGTGACCGAGACCCCCCCGCCCCCCCTCCATTTTTTGGATCATCCAGAACCATGCTATCACCACCAAGTTCCTCATGTTCCTTCTCCTCCCACACCCTCCTACGTTTCTACTCAACCAGAATCTCCTCCGTAGCTACTGCTTCTACTTCCTCAGATCTATCCTTGTCGAAGTCTGCAATAGTGAAATTCCAATTCTATCTTCCTACACCCATCTGTCCTACCCTGTCATTTTCTTTGCTCTGTTTGTAATCCTGTTAAGGTGAGCCCCTACCAACTGATGATCCTTCTGGGACCAGCCATTTATTACCCCCCCCCCCCAAAGGGCTCGGAGGTTCACCCCATAAGTTTTATCTAAAACTTCTTTCTCATATTCATATGTCAAAGGGCAGAACTTGTCAGCATGACCAATAACACCACAGACAAAGCAAAAACTATGAAGTTTTTTGTATTTAAAGTCTACCCAGTGGCCTGCTCCCTACCCTTTCCTAAGAGTCGTGCCTCCCTTTAAAGGTTTCCCCACCTCCATACATTCCCTGATTCTATATAGGATTCCGAATTTTCTTCAAATTGACTTTGGTCAAAACTAATAAATTTACCAACAAAATTACCAATTCTTCTAGCCACCCCTAAATTCATAAAACCATAAGGAACATTATGCATCTGGACCCAAAAATCTAAATTAAACTAATTGTATTGAACTAAATTAAATTAAACTCAATCAAATAATTCTCATTATAGTAATCCGAAATTGGAAATTATTCAAATCATTGCTATACCGAACTGAAATTAAACGTAACATAAAATGATTTTTCCGTACTATCTTTTTGAAATTTGTTAATCTGAAACTTAACCATGATTTAGAAAAATTGAATTATAAATCAAAATGCTCACCCTTTTAATAAAAAACAATACTAATTGCTCTAAATAGGACTAAAAGTTAATCAAAGTGCATAAATATGCACGATATATCAATTTTCATAATCATACTCTCTATATCAATTTTGTGTGATTAATCACGCGTTTGTCTAATTGTCTTGTAGATATAATTGCGACACAAAGATGAACACATAAGTAAAAACGTCTTCTCTCCCTATCTTTTTTCATGTTACTTTATCTCACTTCGTTGATTTTATATTCATAATTCTTAATGAATGTTGTACAACAATACTCCCTTCGTGTCATAAAGATTTTGTTGGACGTAAGGAGTAAATAATTCGGAGAGAGATGGGCCCACTGCTAGGACCATGCTTTTTTGTCCGGCGGCAAATTTCCGTGGTGGTGCAACCCCAGTGTGAGCGAAACATCACCGGAGCTGCCAGTCGTTCCGAGCCTCAAAACGCTACCGGAAGGCGATCCGGCGCGGTCTTCGGGGAAATTGGTCACTGATGATAGGAGTGAAGGGTCATTTTCTTGGTCACAATTCCGTTCGGATCTTTTGCATGCACCAACTTGTGCAGTGATAGTGACAGTAGTGGGCGATGGTGGTGTGGGGGCAGTGACATGATTCCCACTGTTGGGGCTGCTGCTGATGCTGGTACTGTTGCTGTCTATACTCTTTTCTCCAGCTCCACCATTTGCTTTGGCTTCTTGTTGATACATCTCTTCAACCATGGGTTTCCACAACCTAACCCTCGCATTTATGAACCAGTTCGATACCTGAGAAAAATATAATGCCTATAAAATAATTCCAAATATAATGCCTATAAAATAATGCCTATTTGTTTTTCATTAATGATTTTATAATAAAATAAAATGGTTATGAAATGTATAATGAATTCAATTATTCATATATACTAAAGCAAATTATTCCGAACTATTTTATTGTAAACTAATGCGGAGTACAATTGTTAGAGAATTCACAAGCAAAGACGACCACAATATATAGCAAAATTGAGTATGTAGTGAATTTTGAAATGTACGTAGAAACATTATTTATAATTGTTAATTTAATCAATTTGAAGTGTTATTTTTGTTTTCAAATTGAGCTCGAGGCTCTTTGGTTATGCACGATGTAAACGGTTGATTTGATAGATTCAACGGAATTATGAATACAAAAATTGAAATATATTTTATTAATAAAATAAAGAAATAAATATTAAAAGAAGCAGAATCAGAAACAGTTTTTCAGAAGTCGATCTCCTCTAATTGCGTAAAATTAGCTTGTAAAAGCAATTTAAAGTAGGTGACAACTCCGGTACCTTTCTAAAAACAGAGGTACCGTACCTAGCATTCATTTGATTGGACCACATCACTTTATCAATTTTAATTTAGATTTAAATAATTCAATTGCTACCTTTTCATTGGTCCATGTGGACAAAGGTACGGTACCTTATGAGTACCATAGAAACTACCTTTAAAGTATTCAGAAGTACTTCTGCATTTTTATGCGAACACTATAATATATGTAGTATGTTTATGCTCTCCAAAGAATCACAAACCATTCAGAAGTACATCCAAACACCACTAAACTAAAGATTGGCTACCCAACGTGCTCGATCTAGTTTAGCGGTTAATACTTTAGAGCAAACACCTAGAAATTTGGCTTTTCGAAACCCAAAATAACATGTTTGATTTTGAGCAGATACTATATAGGTTAGAAAGAATTGTCCAAAAAAAAAACATGTTTGATTTGCGTAACTCGGTTAGTTGTTGCTTTTAATATATATGAGACGATTATAAATTTATACATATCAATTTGTTTCAATTTTTGGACTGAAAAATGCTTATATTAAACTCATAAAAACAACAAGCAAACATCCAACAGTCCAATCCAAACATTCAGCCTTCCAACAGGCTAGACCTTCCCTCTAGACTTTTTAAAGTTAATATGTACCTTCACTCTTTGCTCCAAATATTTGTTTCAGTTAATTGCTCCAATATATTAAATACTCAAAATTCAAAATATCCCGTTTTTATTTGAAATTAATTCTTATGCTGTCTTTATTGAATTTGCTATACTACTGCATGCACTACATCTAGCAGACTAGCACAATGATCAATCCCACCATTTATGCTGCTATACATGCACTTTGCCACTTTGGACTCTTGTTTGCTGTTTTATATTACTGCTACATAATTGATCGAATAGTAAATAGTAACGACCGAACTACTATGTTAATTAATTACTATTGATCAAAAGAATTGAATGAATGGTGAAAAAACAACAGTACGTAATGAATAACCCATTCTTTGTTAAGCTATTTAATTGTCCCTCTAAATTAAAGTTGAACTTAAAAGCTAGTAGCTTGATATTGAATTGAAACTCTCTTTACTTGTATGGTGTACATATTTCTTCTCATTCTATATTTTCTCTTGTGCATAAAAAGATAAGAACAAGTGGATTAACAAACTTTAACATATTCTTAACCAGCAATGTTATATAATACCAAGGACTTGTATACCATCAGCTGTTTGAGTTGCATATTTTACAGTTTGTTTGGCAACACTGTTTTTCGGCTTATCAGACTTATCAGCCAACTTTTTCACCAAACACGCAAGTTTTGATTTCGCGCGCTAAATTGTGTAATAAGCAGAAAAAGTAAGGTTAGAGTTACTTTTTTGACTGTATCGATTGAAGTTACTGTAGATGACCATTTTAGCTATTTTTACATTTTACATACGGAGTACAAAAATCCATACGGAGTATATACAAAAAGGTGACATCTCATCTCTAAGATCCTCTAATTAACATAGGCTGATTAACATAGGCTGATAAGTTAATCACATTTACTTCCAATATCCTAACACAGACCCTGACGTAGTGGCACAGACTCCCACACTATTTGGACCTTTTTTTAAAAGTACTGTGGTGTGATTCATTTTAATGCACTGCCGCTGATAATAGTACGGAGTACTATATAGATGTAGGATTAAATTTATTAGCAGTGCATCTATATATCACTGCGGTCTCTAGCTCTAGCTCTATCTAGCTGCAGCATGCATATGAATGATGAAACCAATTTCAATAAATAGTCAATGAAAGGATGAGTATCGACATGTATATTTACATATCATACAATGACACACACATCTATTGATCTATATATGCGAAGCTGAATGCATTGATGCATATCATCTACTACTACTGCTCCTACATGTGTAGTTTAAATTCAAACATCATATGTAAGCCTACGCATTAATTACCAGATTTAATTATCAGAGGGCTTATCATAAAAGTATTAGTACACATACTTGAGCTTACAGTAAGATGTTTTAATTGGACTGAAATTTTTTAGTATAATATGTTTAGATTTAACAAAGATGGTGCTTGTACACACTCTTATACCCACTTTTATACACATCCATGTTTGTAAAGGTTTTTTTTAGTTCCGTTCACAGACAATATTTTGTTTGTGAAAATTTGTACAGACAAAATATGTGATATTTTGTCTGTGAACCGATTCATAGACAAAAAACCTTCATAGACATGATGAGTATAAGAGTGGATATATCAAGCATTGTTGTAGATTTAATTTGGTCTAGTCTGGTAGATGACCGATTGATGCGTATTTTATTATTGTCGAAGTATATTATGCTCGGATTTAGTCTGATCTAATTTGTTTAAGTTTGTTCCAGTCTTGGACGGAAACCAATCCAATTAAAAATATCCCCAGTATTATGTTTTAGAGTTACTGTATGTATGGAATTTTTGTTCAATTAATCTGGCCTTACAGGTTAGGTTACCATTTACCAATCTAAATTAAGGGTGCCACGCCCCTAAACATTGGAGCTGGAAAACGGGAATTTGAAAAAGATTGACACCCCATTCTTAAGACCCCTAATACCCATGGGACAATCAACTAAATACTCTATGATTTGAAAATCTCATAGAGTAAATGTTGGGATTGACACGGAATTTGGCACGGACTTATTAATTTTTCGTGCCAAATAGTTCATGCCAAAGTATTTTTGGCACGGATTTGGCGTATCCCTGCCAAAATCCGTGCAAAATCTGTGCCAAAATCCCTGCCAATCCCGTGTTTTTTTTGTAGTGGGGACGTTTAAATTATGAAGCTATATAGCTTTTGCAACTTAAGTCAAGGGAGGGGTGCAAGTTGCCAAGTTGCAACAACCCTATATCACCGTATGCTAGCCGGGGACCTCTGGAAATGTACTAGCTTAGACTATTCATTTGCATCCTCGTGTCGGTGAAACATCCAAACAAATACGTAGTATGACAATGTTTCTTCCAATTTGTTGTGCTGCTACCTTTGAACAGAAAGCTACGTACGTATGTCACACAGTTTGGTTTTTGGATCTACTTGTTCAAATTGTATCGATTCTTTATAAAAAAAAGCATTGAAGTGTATAGATTCATTCAAAGAGCACAATCGAGCAAATATTGAAGTGTATGGATTTTTTCACAAGTAGGACTACTGTGGGAGAGCTAAATCAGAAAAATTGATTCTAATTTTATTTTTGTTTTTAAAAAAGATGCACACGTGGAATCAGTTCCAGACTCCCTTATAATATCATATTTAAGTTCTGAAAGGATAAACAATAATGGATTTAAATTCATTCCATACCATATTTAAGTTTCTTTCTAAAATGTGATTTTGGATAAACAATAAAAGATTTAATACGCGATTTTTTGTTGATGTCGACGACGTTTTTTTGAGTGTTTTTTTATTGAAAAGTGTTTCTCGGTGGAAAGTCACTAATATCGACAGACTTATTAATTAGTTACGGCACCAAATGTGCAAGTAAATAAAGTTAAGGGAAAGTTCCTGGAATAAGAGTAACAAGTTTTGGAATTCCAAATAGGGGTGCAAACGAGCCGAGCCGAGCCCGAGTTTATGTAGACTCGAGCTCGAATTATATTGTATTGGCTCGAGCTCGAGCTCGGCTCGAACGAGCTTAAAAAATCCGGGCTCGAGCTCGGCTCGCAAATATTGATTCGGCTCGATTTGGCTCGACCCGGCTCGGTTCGGCTAGATAATTTTGGTTCGTTCAAAAGTTACAAGTTCAATTAGCTCGAAAGTTCGTGTTCGAACTCGAGCTCAAGTATGAAACAATCTTTAAATATATGTGCTTAACATTTGCAAATTGCAATTTACATGCCCAATAACTAAACCTTACGGGAAAATAAACAAAATACAATTCTAACTTCAAGTCTCCACCCAATTGTACTTCAAATATAAATCAAAAGTGATCAACCCATTAAGAAATAGTGGATGAAACTTTGATTATTTTTGTTAAATTACTTTATAATTAATAATATCTCCCCGGTCCTCATATACATTTATGAATCAGTATTATATATTTATATATATATATATAACTAATTTATATTATATATTACATATACTAATATATACTCCGTATTATATATTAATTTGTATTGTATATTAATATATTACATATATTAATTAAATATACACACATATAACTAGGCTCGCGAGCCGGCTCGCGAGCTAGCGAGCCTAAAATCAGTAGGCTCGTTTCTGGCTCGACTGCTTAACGAGCCGGCTCGAGCTCGGCTCGAGCTCGAGTTTGACCGATCTCGATCCGAGCTTTGACCGAGCGGCTCACGAGCGGCTCACGAGCGGCTCGGCTCATTTGCACCCCTAATTCCAAAATAAGACGAGTATGTTTTTCTTCGCGAAGCAAAACAGTATTTACTGTCATTTTATAGTCATTTTTGTCAAATAGTTGAAGTACTAGACATTAAACATGATATTATTACTATCATTAATGGTAGTAATTTTCGATCATGACAGTAGCGTCTTCCTTTTTAGGAATAAAAACACAACAACCCTATTTTATGATTTCAAAACATGTTTACTCCTGTTTAATTAGGGCAATTTTTCTAAAGTTAAAGAACTAATAATGAACTCAATTAAAAAAATACAAGACTAAAACACCCTTTACTTTTATGCGATCACTTTAATTTATCCTTTTTTAATCGCTTCACATTCCATTCCTCTCGAATCCATTTTTCTTGAGGAAAATTACAAGAAGTATGACAAAGAAAAGTGGTGATTTCTAAAATCTGACTGAATAGCTTTTTATTCCTCAATTATTGGTGTTTTATATGTACTCCGTATATGGTATCTATTTTGATCCTACTCATTCTCTCTTGAATTCAATTATTACTCATATAAAGTCATGTTTAAGTTGCTAGTCAGATTATACCTCCATTCTTAAATAAATGCAACATATGAAAATTTACACTATTCGCATGTTCTACTTTGACTACATTTTATTTATTAATGTATTAATATTTTTTATGAAAAAAATATTGTTAAATTTGTCTCATTGTAAATTTTCAAAATCTAATTTTTTTAATTTTTTTACTAATACAAAATTATACTCCCTCCGGTTTTATTTAATCTTCACACTTTGACTTCACACAAAATAAGGAAAGAAATTTGACTTTACTGTAGAGTACACTGTTGAGGCACTGTTTGACATTGTTTGGCACTGTTGAGACACTGTTTGGCACTGTTGAGACACTGTTTGGCACTGTTTGGCACTGTTTTGATGTAGATTGCTTTGCCAAAAAAGGAAATAAGGAAGTGTGAAGTTTATTTTAATCCGTCCCAAAAATGAAAGTGTGAAGTTTATTAAAAACCGGATGGAGTATATATTAACGGTCAAAGTTGTGTATCGGCAAGTGTGAAATGTTCACCGTTATATTTATTTAAGAACGAAGAAAGTACGTAGTATTATGAATCTATATGAATGATTAGTCACATTTAGGTATTTCCGTTTGACTTTTTTTCATTTTTGCAGATTAGAATGGTAAAACAATTATTTCCTTTATGTTTTAAACATTATATTCTGTAAAATTAAACTTAAACGAATCTTGTATTTTTGAAGTAGTAATTAAGTGGCAATGTGGCATGGGCAGGAAAGTAGCCAACCTGGTTACGGGAGAGACCAGTCTGTCGAGCTAAGAGGTGTTTATCTGCATCACTGGGGTACCTGCGAAACAGACCCCAAATAATTACATCAAAGGCTCAAAGCCCTCACCTAAACTTTACACTATTACCTCAGTCCTACAATATCTAAGATGGGAAAAGGTGACACACATATTACCAAAAGTAGAATTATGTGAGGGACATCAAATTAGGAATAAATTCCACTTTAGTCCTGCGAGTATCTCACCACTTTCACAATTGATCCACGTGACGTTGATCATTTTTAGTACATGACTATTATGTTTTCGTCCATTTATGGTCCTTCAATTCCGCCTTTCGGAAATGTTTTCGGTGGTTAAAAACTTAAAATCACCGAAGACGGACCACAAATGCTCAAGAAATATTAGTTAAGTACCAAAAGTGGATAAAGTGGTTAACGACATGGCTTAAGTGTGAAATTGACATAAAACTCATAGGACAAAAGTAGAATTAACTCAATTCATAAACTTTACATGAATTTGAATCATAAAAATATTTTCACATATACTCCCTAATACTTATGGGACAAATTTAGTTGCATGGTAAAAACTTAAACATTTGATACAGATATGAAAAAGTGGACTATATAAAGACTGGTCAACTTCAGAGAGGAAATGGCTTACTTAAAATTAGTTAGAAAATGAGGGAGGAAAATGTGAGGGAAATTCCTATTTATCTCTATATACGATAGTACAAGTGAAAGAGATAATTAATTTATCAGGGGTAAATAAGTAAAACTAATGAGATGTAGGCGTGAGAGAATCTAAGACCTGCAATAGCCTTATATATAAGTTGTGTCTCAGGTCTGCAACAGAAATAGCAGTAGGGCAGTATACATATATATATGGATAGTGCAGCAGAAGTAAAGACACAGGAGGACTGCATGCATGCCTGATCATGCCCTCCCGGTCTCTTTTTTTTCTCTCCCTCCATTATCTATCGGTCCCAACTATATACTATCTATATTTCTTTAATTAACCATACGATTCATTCATTACATATAGATTCTTTTTAGGCACAACACTCTTGTCCCACCACGGAAACAGTCTCTCTGTGCTTTAGTACAGGGGTAAGACTACATACATCCGACCCCCTTACCCCACCGTAGGTGAGAGCCTTTGCGGCACTGAGGTAAATGAAAATGATGACTCTGGCCCCACCACAAATATGCAAACCATACTTCACTCACAAATATTGCACTCTATCCCATATGGGCTATGCTTGGTGTACACAAAAAGTGTACACTTTTTGTACACTGCCTGTGTACAAAGGCAATTGGGAGACAAATGTTGTGTCTTTCTTAACGAATTGTCTGAATGCATAGGCAACTAGGGAGTGTACACAAAAAGTATGCACATTTTGTGCACCTTAAGCATTTTTTATCCTATATACTCCATATACAAGAACGCAAAACTGCAGTTACAAAACTAACCCACAAGAAGATTAGCCGTTTAAAATAACTCCAAATAAGACTATATTCTCGAGTGGATTGAAATTTCATAATCTGTGTTTAAGTCTAACCTATTCTCTATTCTAGGCCGCTTAGTTTTAGTGTATGTGAGTTTTACCGTACTTTTACTAATGTCTAGTTTCATCTGATTAGTTTAAGTCCGGATGTGTCGTTACCCTCTTTAAAAATACTTATCAATTATGAAAAATAATTCGGAGTACTATCTATTTGGTCCTATGTGAAGAAGACTAACATTTTTTTTATTCCTAAACTAATACTCCGTAGGGAGTATTACTTAAATTAGTACTAAAAGGATTTGTACTGATATTATGAATTTATCATAAAGTTCATCAGGAAATGTCTTTACCTTTTTTAGGATGTTACATCATCTTTATATTTTTTCTTACAACTGTAGTACGCAGTAATCAAATAAAATGGAAAACAAATGCATATACGGAGTACTCCCTCCGTCCCATAATTATCTTCATTCTTTCCCTTTTGGTCCGTCCCAAATTTATCTCCTCTTTCCCTTTTTAGCAAAGGATTTGTGGTTCACAACCATTCTTACACATTTCTCTCTCCTCTGCACAACTCTCCACCACACATTTCACACTTTCTTAATCTCCGTGCCCAGTCAAAACCGAAGTTAATTCTGGGACGGAGGGAGTATTAGATAGCTAACTATTAACTGACCTAAGCTAGCTAGTTAGCTTAATGTTCATATTCATGCAAGGTTATCAGAATGACTTGGTGTGCAGTTGTGGGGTATATATATGAATCAGATCTCATTTTACTTGTCTTACTTTCCTATCTGGGTTGTTCCAAAATAAGTGTTTCCTTTCCCTTTTGGGAAAGAAATATGTGGTTCACAACATTTCACTTTATTATACTCAAATTTCAACCATAACTTTTATTTTTTAAAAATTGTGTCAAAACAAAAGGAGACACATACATAAAATGGGACCGAGGTAGTAAGCTTTTTCAGCTTTTTATAAAATAACTTTTCCCTTTTTCGACTCTTGATAAAACATCAAAAATGCTCAGATCAACATTATACTGCGGCCCCTTCAGTCACTGGCGATATTCTAGACCTAATTAAAGTGTCAATGCATGACTGATTTGAATGCAAACGCTTTATATCTTTACTCATGTTTATGTTAGCTAGGGCCGGTGTAATCTATATAGAGTCCTGTATCCTATTTTTAGGTTTCGAGAAATCACAACACTAAAATTGTTGCACACCAAATTTGATAAAGTTTGTTTGGTTCTAAATTATTTTTGCATTATACTTACTTTATCAATTCAATATCAACTAAATAAATTCACTTTTCTTAATAACTGTGTCACCTAGCCCCTTCATTTTTCAATGTTAATGAGATGAAGGTAATGCTTGACAGATACTCCCTCCGTCCCGCTATTAACTTCCTACTTTTCTTTTTGGGCCGTCCCAAAATAATCTTCTCATTTCCCTAAATGGAAAGTTATCCTACATTAAAACAGTGTCAAACAGTGCAAAACAGTGTCAAACAGTGTCTAAACAGTGCCAAACAGTGTCTGAACAGTGCCAAACAGTGTCTAAACAGTAAAGTCAAATTTATTTCCTAAATATGTGTAGGTCAAAGTAGGAACTTAATAGAGGGACGGAGGGAGTATGATCGTTGTCTACCAAAATTTTCTTCAATGCATACAGTTTTCTTTTAACATTTGTTATAATTCTTTTTTTCTTGGACGTGTTAGGTACTTACGGGTGTAGAAAATGCTCAAAGAGCCAAGATCTCAACATGTTGACTGAACGTTCGGGTAGGCCTCGTTGGGGCCTCCAAGCTTCATGTTCCAACATTCCCATTTGATGAATTTCCCTTTGCTTTCTTAGGGTTTGTTCAAGCATCTTAAGCCTTGGAGTCTCTCCTTTTGTCAGACATGACGACGTCCCGCCCGAGTCTTTGTCTCCCAAAAGCTCGCAGCTGTGCTTCAGCTGCGTGCTAATGGCGCCCTTCAAGCACCGGAAATGTCGAGACATTGCTCGTTGGGCGAGAGACGTGTATGGCATCGATGCTCCGAATCCCATCACCAAATCAAATGAGTTCACAATTATCTTCATTTGTTCACAATAATGGTTGTATCTTCGGTCCACCTGAATGAATAACACTTTAAGGTCATAATACTATATTGGGATATACTACCATTACTACGTAGTATTAAAGAGACACACACATATATGAGGATTACATTGGCGACTTGGTTGAGTGTAATCTTTATTATTCTTTGATCCTAGTGCATGATATGGTCACAAATGCTTGACTAATATTCAAAACCTAATTATTAATTAGTTCAATGAAGTTTATAAAAGATACTCTTTCCATCTCCGAAAATGCATTTCTTCTTTTAGTTGACGCGGCTGATTAAGAGTGTAGTTTAAAACAAAACAAAACAAAAAGTGTAGTTTAAAACGAAAAGATATATCGGAGTAGTATAAATTTTGATAAAAATGAGTGGATTAATTATAAAAAACACACATTTATTTCCTTAAATGAATACAAGAAGCTTATATTGAGACATACTAAAAGGAAATAAAGATGTTTATTTTGGAATGGGGAAGTACTATATTGTACTAATAGGTTAGAGTATTCTCTAAGAAACGTGTTAGAATAGAACTTAACACACTAATAGTTGAAAGTGTTAGAATAGAACTTAACACACTAATAGTTAAAATATTTTAGATCAAATAAGTATTTTGTACTAAAGTTGATTTTTTTTCATTAAAATCACATTTACAAGAGTCGTTACTATACTATACTCACAGTTCACTCAGCTCGAGCAGAACCATCTTAAAAATAATGCCATAATCTTAACCTAATATAATTGATTGCTCATTCATTAAAAAAACAAAGATTTTTTACAAGAATATTACTAAAATAAAACTTATTTACATAAATATGACTATTCATTACTACAACGTAGTGTTATGGTAACTTAAGTTCAAAACTTGAACATGAATTACTATGATTTCATTATTACTTTAGTAATTTATCATATTTTTGTAAAACATCTTTATTTTGATCATATTTATGTAATTATTTCAAAAAACAATCGCGGATTTAGTCCCACATTTATTATAGAATCTTGTGTCGAAAAAAGAAGTTGTCAGCACGGATAGGAGTTTGTCACTTTGTCATGGTGGATGACAGATTTTGGATGAATTTGTGTGGTCACCTAGAGCTCCATGACAAAATATGTTTCAATTTTTTGTTATGCTTTAAACCTAATATGTTTTGATGTCATAACAAGATTTTTCCATATTCATCTGAAAAACATGTCAATTTAATAAAAAGAATAACCTTGTGAATATATATTTTGTTTTGTGCATTTGTATTTAACTACTGTGGAACGAGATAAATGGGCTCGATCTAAATTAATACATGAAAAATTTGCTTAAGTACGACTAAAACAAAGACAAATTAAAATTCACAAATAGGACAATCATTGGTTTATTCGCAAAATAGGCTGCAATCACTAATATTTTAAGAATGTTTAGTCAAAAGAAATAGCTCCAAATAGAAGTAAAAACGCTTGTGAATTCCAGAATAGAGAACTGTTATGTTTTTATTCTCTATATAAGAGTAATTATTGTTATTTATTTGCTAAATAGGAATTGTCACGTTTTTTACATTACCAGATTTTAAACATGTCAGCATTTTCTATACTTGATAGTACTTATTCTTATTTAACGAATAAAAAACATGACAATCCTTTTTAGAATTCCAAATCATTTTTTCTCATATTTCGGTACTTTCCCTTTAATCAACTTATTCTTTGGATATAACAATATAAGTCATATTTAGAGAATGTACATTTGATTTTAATTATTTTGGAACAATATCTATGTTTTGATCTATTATTGAGCAATTTCTATTAATAATCCATTTAGCGATTTACTTTATGGCAAAAGCAAATGACAACAGAAAAATCCAAATTAGGACATGCATGTGTTAATGTGTATTATGCGTATGATCTGTCGTTGTTGTGTCTATACTAATTTTGAAAAGAGATGAAGACTTGTAGTAGCTAAGTGATTTGAGGTCTCAACCGCCGCATGTAAATGAATAAATCTTCATTCCAAAGTTTTACCATTATTTTTAATTACGCAACAAGGAACGTAATAATCACAAAATGTCCTGATCGAATCGAGAAGCCTGGAGATGAGTACTTAAGTTAAGTGATCACCTATTCCTCATCCCAAACTTGTATTTGAAGTCTTTGTATTTCGTTTTCAAAAAAAACTGAAATGTAAATTAAATTTCAAGCCATTTTAATGATTAATCTGATAAATTTCACATTAACTGAACATTTTCTGCAACAAACTTGTAATCAAAATAACAATTAACAAATGAGAAAGTATTTCGATGCCCTTTATCTTCCAAATTAAATTTAAAAAAAAAATTGAAATTTTAATAGAGTACAAATATAATATACTATCCTTTTTAGTAAACGAACTAAATTGACAAATATAATATATCAACCTGTCCTTTTTAAACCGAAAGCTAATAGATATATATATACAGTACAAATGACAAAGAAAGCTATTTCTGGAGGGGGGACATATATAATGGAATGAAGAAATTGATTAAAAGGGAAATTTAACTACCAACGATGGAAACCTGATCCTCATCTCAAATCTGAGTAATTTATTAGTAGCTGACATTAGTTTTTAAGGAATGATGATACACATTAATATAATAATTTCTAAATTTGTGATGAAAAAATATGGTTATGCTTTTAAATTTTTTGACTAAATTCTTTAAATTTTAAATCTGTAAAATCTTTGCCAAAATTAAACCCGTCTTTCAATTTCACGAGTTAAATTATTTAATTGTTAAAATATACTCCCTCCGTATCACTTTTATTGTCCCACATTCTCTCTTTGGGTGTATCAAAATGATTGGCTCACTTTTATTTTTGCAAATAAATCCATTTAAAAAGCAGCTACAGTGCTGCTACAGTACCAAAAAGCTCCTACTTATTCAAAAAGTGTACAGTAAATCTATAAATTTTCTTAAACTACTACAAAACTCTATTGGGGCAATAAAACTGATACAGAGGGAGTACTATGTATAATTCATGTTGTTTTTCTATTTGAATTGGCTCAAATTGGTGAAGATGGCTACTTTTTCTGTATTTTTAAATATGTATATATTTATTTTGAATTTATTAATAAAATATATTTAAAATATAATTTTACAATCAAAATTTCTCCATTTAAATGTATTTGCCAATTCAACTCTCAAAATGGACAAAAGAGTAGATTATGATGGACCATTTCATTGTGACAAACGCTATAGATAATTAGTCGGCAACTCGGCATTTATATAGCAATCAGTAAGAAACAAAAATATCTTTATATTTATACGGTCGTAAGTACACCTCTGTCCCATCTTCTAATAGTTAGTAAGTCAATGATTACTGTCGTGCCTCACCACACCAAAATAAAATACTCCGTAAAGTATACGAGTAAATAATTAGCACCCAACCAATCATGCATTGTATATTCACCAAAGACTAATAAAATTTGTGCTTAAAAATTTGAATTTTAATCAAATTGGACCAACTCGATGTGATCAGTGAACACTACTAGTCTACTACAAACATATGCATCCATACAGCCGCCACCGTTTTGTAATTATTGTTCCACTCAAAATTATAGGTCCCTCAAAGAACTGTTTTATAAATCGTGATTAAATTGGGTGGAACCCGTGGAAGGATGATGCAATTAATGATTTGTGAATTAGGTGGTCATGATTAATTAAGATAGATTAGTTTAAAGCGAGCTTGTACTATTATAGGAAGATTAAATTAATTCATAGCTTATTATAATTATTGTTATACGGAGTGGAGTAATAATTATAGAGTATTATATTACTTCTGTAAGTTTGGTAATTATACAGGAAAGTAAATTTGTGTGATTGTATTGAAATGATAAACTAAGAATAAAATAAATTATACTAAATTTGGAAGTGGATAATTTAATAGGTTGTACACTGTTTTTCCGATTTTGAGGCTTATCAGCTAATTTTTTCACCAAACACGAAACGTTTGCTTTCGCACGTTGAATTGTGTGATAAGCAGAAAAAATAAGGTTGTAGTTACTTTTCTGGCTGTATTGGCTGAACTTACGGTAGATGATCATTTTAGCTATTTTTACATATAATTTTTTCTTTATATTAATAAAATATATTTTAAAAATGATTTTTTCTTAAATCAGCGGGATCAGCCAATGCATCTATTTTAGGCAGAACTTCATAAATTTTAGCAGAATCAGCCAAAACAGCGTGCTGGATTCTAAATGTAACAAAAGAGACAATTTTAGCTGGATGGAAGATACCTCATCAAGCATGGATAACAGTTTGACTTTTCGTCTTTGATGCTCAATTCGATCGGAGGCAGATAATGGAGGTGGAGAAGTGGCGGCTTTACTGCCGGAACTCGGCGGAATAGTTTTATCTAAATTAGGGTTTTGATCGGCGGAGGAAGCGGCGGTTAGTTTCGTGGCATTATCGACCGTCGTCGATTGGTCGCGGCTAACACTGCAGAATTCTTCCAACAATTCTTGAGCAGCATTGGCATATTTGGAATTTCTAAGCGCGTTGACCACTCCCATAGACGACCCAATTGATCCGGCGTTGACTTGATTGCTTTGACCCACGTCTACGCCGCCCGGCAGATTATGTAACGTTTGGAGAAAATTGTGTCCTCCGGCCCCCTGGCTGAAATATATCATTCCGCCGTGTTCGCCGCCCATCCTCAATTCCTCCGCCGCCTTACCCGCTTCGAGGGGGTGCAAGGAGGAAGATAGCGATAAGGACAGTCCCTGGCTTTCCACAACATTAACGCCGCCGATTTCGGAATTTGTGAAATGACCGAAATTGCCCCCGCGCTGGGCGTAGTAGTCTTGGAGAGGCGGCGGAGAAGGCGGGGATGGGTTCGTGAGGAAAAGTTGCATGTCGGCCGCCGTCCCGTGTCGGTTCCCGTGCCACTCAGGCGGCGGCCGTAAACGATAACACTCCGGGTTTTCCGGCGAAGAAAAATTGAACATTTCTGACAACATTCCGGTGGTCTCGTAAATCTGTTGGTGGTGAAGCCCAGTCGACTGATGATGCTCTTCTTCCATGGCAACTAAAGGCGGCGCCTCCGCCGGCTCAAATCCTTGGACCCTTAGCCTCTCTCTCCGGATATGTTCAGTTTGGAGTTTCTCGAATCCATTCGAGAAAGTGAAGTTAGCAGCGGGATGATGATAATAATCTCCAGACATATAAATAGAAATGGAGAGGCCGGGCCGTCGGACTATACCACTGTATCCATCTTCGTCGGAATATAATCAACAATGGGGAGGTCCGCCGGGAAAATAACGAATTGAAGAAGATAAATAGACTTGCTCTTCTTCTTGCACTCTGGTTTCGTTTCTCCCTCAGAAGATTTTTGTTTTTGTTTTTTGTTTTTCCAGATTTGCACTATATATGGGTTCCTCTTACTATTGTAGTAAGGTGATCACTTAGATAAACTATGATCGAGATTACTATGCTAAAAATGAATAGGGTTTCTCCAAGTATGAAGGCCAGAGTCTTACTCTATATCTTTCAGCTTGTGATTAAATTGTAACTTACATCCTCACATCTAACTGTCTGATCGGTGTTGGAGTCTCTCAGGAATGAGGTTTTATTTTACATGAGGTGACCCTTCAATACCTTGACAAAATCAAAGGTATCATACCTATCCACTAAGATTAAGACACGTGTCGTACTCTTTTTTTACAGCAAGGATCAATTATTTGAATGCTTTCGCTTCTCCCCGAATTTGCTAACATACCCCTAAATTATTTGACAACTAATTTGTATCGGTTCTGCGTTAAGCCTCCATTATGCTACCGTCAAACACTATATTTTTCATTTCTCAACTATGTTCGATCGTTCTCTCTATCGAGTGCAAAGGCTTGACTGCAAGACACACCCGTCGAGCAGGGACAGAGACTCACCAATGCATCCCCTGGTGGGTACTATCATATCCCTGTGGATGAGGGGTAAGTGTCAGGCCAATCAACCATTAGGTGTTAAAGGAGAAGGCAATGGCCGGTGGGTGAAGAGCATAGCCCATGTTCGAAGCATAACCAGGGAAGTTGCTTTCGAAATAGGAGGACAAACCGAATGAAATTTGTGTAGAAGGTTTCAAATTTGTTGAGAGAAACACATGAATAATCGGTTGGGATCCTTGGCTTACTCGAGGATTATGGGGACTACAAATCAGGTATATACTCGTTGCCCTATAAATTGGTGATCACAATTTAAATGGATTGAAATTGTTGGGGGTAACTTTAGAAAGAGACCCAACTCTTATATTTGTAAATTGATGCGATTGTATGATGGGGATTAGGCAAGCCTTTGTAATCTATGCTCATTTAGGGTATATGCATTCAAGGAAACATGACATCGGGTGTTGTGCGAAGTAAAAACTCAATTTTTAAATATTGCAAATGTCCAATTTCTTCAACCAATATTCTTTTGAATACCATTTGTTTATGTACTTATATTTTTCATCACTGAACTTGAAATTACCTGTCACCTATTATTACTATTTTTTTCAACATTCAGTACATGTCAGTGTATTTGTAAATTGTAATTACAGTTGTAATTATCAAGCACACAATTTAAGTCGAGAAAGGAATGTTGTAGGCTTATAGCATGGTACATAAACATATTCCCTATTAGGGGATGTGGATTTTGGTAGAGAAGACCACTTTTATATAGAAAGGTTGAGTTATAATACATGGGTTCAATATTGTTTCTGAGAGTTTCAGTTTCAGTATTTACATCAATAAAGGGGCTGGTTGTCCAATTATATGTGCAGGTTCTTCCTCCACTCTGTGTAGAATTTAGAATATTTGTGATGCAATAACCTACGATACTACCTATATGGTTTTGAGTATAGTATAATCTCAGGTATAAAGCCAGTTTACAATGGCAATATGACCTGAAAATTTTGTTGTGATATTCGTCTCTAGATTACCTCCTTTGTACCAAAAAGGAATAACTAGGACGTTTGTGATATGATATAGAGACACATGAATGTATATTTACCTTGACAATAATAATGATATCTGCCATCTGGTGAATTAGGAACCTTTTCTAGTCATTTATGAGTGTCATATATATATTCTTTGCTTGTTGTTTTCTTTCTGTAATTCTCTTTATTGCTACATATTTTCTCTCTTCCCTCTTTATACTCTCATTCCCTTCTATCTTGTTTTTTTCAAACCGATTGGGTACTTTTGGTACTTCCTGGTTAAAATAATATCAGCCTATCAGGTCCCTTTAATTTAAATCATCAAAATATTTCACATTCTTTGTCTTTAGTATTTCAACTCCTCTCTTTTGTACTTTTTGTTTTCCATCTGAAAACCAGTGAATATTGTATTATACAAAATCAGAAATTAATTCATTGTGTCTATACTCCTTTACGGTTCTTTCAAAATTATGCATAGAATCAACAAGGTTGTTTTTGTTCTGAACGTACCGCTTAATGAATGAATTAATTCCTTCACAGATGGACGTTGTCCGAATACCGGCAAAAAACTTGTCACACATATATGCACTTGCCCACATCATCTCCATGTCATAAACTTTCTTAACTCAGTTGTTGTTTGCAACTCCATGTTCATCAACTGTCTTCTTCCACCTGTTTTCAAAATCATCAGGGCTAAAGTTACCATAAATTAGAGGATTAAGATCTTCTAGAAAATGTGAGTTCTTAACATTATCACATGCATTTTTGTGAAGATGCCAAGCACAAAGCCTATGAAAGGGGCTTGGAAGCACTGTCCTAATTGATTCACGCATTGCAACATCTCCATCAGTGACAACTGCCTTAGGATGTTTACCAAACTTGCATTCACAAAAAGTTTTCAGAACCCACTTGTATGTTTCGGTCTTCTCATCGGATACTAAGGTACACGCAAAAATAACTATTTCGTCGTGATGATTGTACCTAGAAAAAATAACCAAAGGCTTGTTCTACTTGTTTTTATGTAAGTAGTGTCAAAAGCAACAACATCTCCAAAGTAATGGTAATCAAGTCTGCTTACACCATCGGACCAAAACAAGTTATCAAGTCTTCCCTCTTCTGTGGTTGTGAACTTCGAAAACATGAAGTTTTCGTTGTCTGCTTTGGCCTGCAAATAAGATAATGCAACAAATGCATCACCATCATTTATCTTAACTCTCTTTTGTTAATCAATGTAAATGTAAAAATCCTTCTTACAGAATCTAACATCAGCGTGTCCACCCTTTTGACCAATAATCAGCCCCATCATGTGACAAGTTCTAACTCCATGCAACTGTAAACTATCTACATGTGCTTTAATGTCGTCGCTAATGCTTCTGTAAGCTCGAATTAAATGAACATACTGTGATGAAGTCATTTCATGATTGTGAGTATCATCGAAATCAATAATCATCCACTTTTGTGTATGATTATCGAACTATGCACGAAGTCGTGCCATGCAATTGGTACGAGTGATAGGCTTTAGCTCCCTAACACGATCGTTCCTTTCCATGTGCTTCTTGTTTCTCAATCCCTCACGATTGCAAACCACATTTCTCATTATAGTATTACTCCCTCCGTCCCAGGGAGAAGTTCCCGGGTTGACTTTCACACATATTTAGGAAATAAAGTTACTGAGGGCTAAATTTTACTGTTTGGCACTGTTTCGACACTGTTTGACACTGTTTCGACACTGTTTGACACTGTTTTGCACTGTTTGACACTGTTTTGATGTAAGATAACTTTCCATTTAGGGAAATGGAAACTTTTTGTTGGGACTACCAAAAAAGGAAAGTGGGAACTTCTCCCTGGGACGGAGGGAGTATTATTTGACTCACGACGCACATCATCTATACTAATATAAAAAGGGAAACCAAGGCTTGTCTCAAACTAACGATCGGACAACGTGGAGGCAACAACTGTTCGCGTCCTTGGGAATTTTATTAATGGACGTGATCTTACAGAAAATATTAATGGACGTGATCTTCAATTTTTTAATCGCCACGGATAATTGATACACGAAGCAGTACAACTTCTCATATCAATACATCTCATATCAATACATCTTCTCCACAAGTGGAAAGTTGTGGAGAATGGGAGATTATCGGTAGAAAAAAAATTAGCGGAAGATCTACTGGCAGATTTTCCCACTTGTGCATCCATTTATATACTTCGTATAGTCCACTTATTAATCCCAGAGTATCATGTTATAATTTTTATTACAATCTGTCCTCTAAAACAAATTGGGTAATACGAGTACAACTTGCATATGGAGAGCATTTTCTTTGATCAAGAGGTAATTTAATTTAAGTCTTTTTATATACACCAAGTAGAATAATCCAAACACACTGAAATTTTAGATTAGTAAACTGAATTGGCAATAATGCAATCACATTTAAGCCTTTTGGTTGTAAACTTAATTCAGAAATCTATTGGTTTTGATAAGTAAACTATTGATTTTGGCAAGTAAAAGTACTACATATACGTAGTACGTAGTATATTATATTCATTGATTTCATTCTACTTTTCAATTGAGATAAATAGAGTCAAATGTTATTGGATGGATTGTTGTCAATGAAGTTTATAGATCTAGAATTCATTTATTACCAATTAAGCTTATTGATCAGAATTATAATTACCACATATAAAAGTAAATTTGATATAGTAAAAAATATACTTATGAAATCTGATTAACACAGAAATTATGGGAAATTTACTAAGGTATGACTAAAACTCAATGAGTTTCTTAATCTATGACCTAACTAGTTTTTGTGCGGCTGGGTGTAGGAGACGTTGATCTGTGGATGGAGGCGGAGGACTAAAAGCTAGGGTTGGAGAAAAGAGTTGGAGCTTAGGATTTTATAGATATAATTCAAAGGGTAAATTTGTCCACCAAATTTATTTATTTATTTAATTATTACGAATTTTAATTAAAATTATCAATTTTAATATCATTTTGGTAAAAAAAACTAGTTAGGTCATAGATTGAGAAAGTAAGTTTTAGTCATTCATAGGGTAATTATCTCCAGAAATTATTAACTAAGGTGTTCAGATTTTAATTAAAGTAAAAATATTTATGAAATCTGATTAACACATAAATTCATGAAAATTATACTTATTTAAGTAAAGTTCTTAATTACATCAACCTATATGTGCCCAAATTTCACAAACACAAAATTTTATATGCATGCGGATTCATATACTATGTATAAGTTTCAAAATGAACAATGGTGACAATGTTTTTGCCATGAGTTTAAGTTTGTTACAAATAATGGAGGCATGAGTTACTATAGAACTTCATTAACTGCAAAGTAGGTAATATCCTATATGCAATCTGTTTAATGCCCTTCTATTTGTGTACACTTTTCTATAGTTGTTTGGATTTCCCCTGACTAAAAGAAGATTTAGT